TTTTCTTAAAAAATTCCTAGTAAACGGCTTGGGTGGCAAATAGTAGAGTGGTCTTGTTTCTACCAACTCAAAAACTTACTTCTTAGCCAACAAGCAAGCAGCAACTGATTCAATTTCTATCCATGCAACAAGTGAAGACCAAGATCAGGTGGTACATCCATATGGTTTTGCACTGTTCCGAAACTTCTTTTTTTAGTCAATACAATAAATACATATTTTGAATTTATTTTCATAAACTATTTTATCAAGATTGACTCATTGAGAAATTGGCAAAGCCATTTAAAAGATATATTAATATATCTATTTAGTGTGATACTGGTTAGAAACTATTTAATTTGAATAAAATTTAATTCCAATCAAATCTTTTATTTATATTATGGAACAAACTTCATTACATGTAAACAGTCCAGATTTCAAAATTGTAGCAACAGTATTATCATTTGTTCATCAAATTGTTAATGTTCAACAGTCAAGTTGAATTTAATTGAAGTACTCCATATTGTGGCATTTCCTATTATAAACAGAGAAATCATCATATGATAGTAATTGTAGTCATATGAACAATTATCAGACCGCCCATACATTGTAACATATATAAGTGTCTATAAATAATATGTCATGCTGTTGGAATGCACAGTTATTAATACAGTAATAGTTTTAACTACTTCATTTTTTTTAAATATCTCAGCAGGAATAGTTTTAACTACTTCATTTTTTTTTTAAAAACTCAGACTTTTGTCAATTACATGTACATATGATATAAAGTTATTATTAAATTGCAATATTTTGTTTTTCCTTGCAAAGAAATGGTCACCTAACCTCATTGTTATGTATTAGTATTATACATGTATCTGTTAGTTGGGTCAGTCATATATTACCCCAAGACACAAGACTAATTTAAAACACACATGCAGGGCTCTCAGTAGGGTTAGAATTTCACGAGTCAAAGACTCTTTGGCCAAAATTTTCATGAGTCAAATATTTTTTTTCTAGTGTCATTTGACTACATGAATCATTTTTATGTTACAAAAATTACTGTATTGGAGGTAATTTTGTGTAGATTCTCAAGTCGAAAATGATAATATTTAACATGGAAAAAATGCCTAGTTATAATGTATATATACCCCCCCCCCCACCCACCCCCCAAAAAAAGACAACCAAAAAAAAAAAAAAAATGAATTGCATCTTTACTGTGAAAGAATAAATTAAGCAGCAGCTTTTCTGATTAAAAGTTTAAAATATAAAAAAATATCTTTACTGGTATGCTATATATCATAATAATTTAAATACCAAAATGCACTAGGAATATTTAATGGAAATAACAAATGAACAGGCACTCCAAGTAAATCAAAGACTATCATAAACCTTTAAAAGCAATCAATAATTGACACCTCAAGTATGTAATTCTTATCAGTTGTGTAGAGCTATTTTTACCGCTGTCAAATTGCATCCACTGATGTCACGCTTCAGTGCACAGGCTATAAACAATGCTGTGTATTACACACGGTGACATTTTTTTGAGTGTGATTTGAACATATGTAGGATTTGATAGGTAATTAGGAGTAGATTTAAGGTAATTATTATTGCATAGCTGAAAATCCCACGTGGCAAATTGACTCTTGTGCAGATTTTATCACGTGTCAAATTTGTGCATTTCCTGATTTTCACGAGTCAAAACCCGGATCCCCGTGTCAATCGAGAGCCCTGCACATGTATAATATTATCATTTTTTATGCTCTTTTTTCGCCACTTCAAAATATTTTTTTTGACATTTGAGGAATTGACGAATTACAGCGTGCTTAATATGATATGTTAATTGATAAAAAAATAGTTGTAAACAGATGTAATCTGATCTTTTAATCACTAATATTATAATAACATATTTGTTTGTATATTCATTCACATGAAGTTATAAATTGCCCTTGTACACTATGATATAGAAATAAATAAGTTTACCAATAAAGTAACATAAAAAATAAATGTATTAATGGAAATATAAAAACTGAAATGTTTACGTTTTGGAACGACAAACATTGATTTCATGTGAATACGCTTATACAGACTAAAATATCTTTAAATGCAAAAATTAACAAAGTCATTAATATAACACCTTCCTACTTTTATACCGCCATGTGTAAATTTTACTTAACATAATGAAATGACATACAATTATATTTTATTACGTTGGTTAAAATTATGCGTGATACATGTATTTGAATTCATTAGATTTGAAATCTTCATGTTTGTAGCTACTCTAGATTATGTGTTCAGTTAACAACATTGAGAATAGCTGGGGCAAATTTAAAGTCGTCATTTACAAATATATCTTTAAAGTACTTTTTACCAATTAACATGATTAAATTAATCGGATGACAGACATTGTTTCAAAGTAGCATGGATTGTATTGGGGAAATGGGGTATCTTGGGGGAAATGGGGTATCTTGAGGAAATTTGGTTCAAATTGAATTGTCAGCTGGTGGTTTCGTGTTGTTCATTTTATATATTAAATTAATTTTTCATAAATAAATTTTAACAGAGATATGTAGTCTTTAAACAAAAATAAAATTAAAAATTATCACTGAAACTCTTTTATTTAATATTGCATTGCGCATTAATCTAACTTGAAATAATAATATTATTTTTTTAAATTAATATGTAAGGTGCACTAGAACATATACCGGTAATAGCTTCTTTAAAAGCAATGCCTTATAAGTTATAACTGATGAAGTGTGAGGATGTATAAATACCTTTTGTAACATAATAAAGAAAATATTTTTTATCTACAGATCATATCTTATATTAACCTCACTTGGGTACAGTTTGTGACCACAAATATTATGTTGGAGGAAGCCAATAAAACATCTCAATGACTTGTCACTTAGTGATCTCATTTTCCTCACTTTCATTGAACCTGTAACAGTGTTATCTACCTTATATTTTTTGCGTAGAATTTCTATTAACTTTGCGGTTGATATTAAAACTTGATTTTTAAGTGAATGTTATAAGTCTGAGCACTGAATGTCTGGAAAAAAAAAAGTCAACAGATCTATCTCATTTTTAGTATAATCATCATCATCAGTTCATTGCCTCATTTCTGCAATATTTTCGTAAAAACACTTGTCACCCGATGCTATGTCTGGCACAAGAAAATGTCATACATGTAATGTCATAAATTTAAGTTTAAAATGTTTTATCTGATAAAAAATACCATATTTATAAATTTTATGTTATAATTATACAATATTTTCTATTTAGGCTGGTATTTTCATAATTTTGTGACCCAGTCTATCAGTAATAAACTTCTAAAATTAATTGTCATCATGATTTTACATTTCAAATTCTGGCCTACTTTAACATGAAGTCTCGAACATAGTTAGTAATCTATGTCACTGAAATAAATCCAAATGATTATCACTTAAGTTAAATACCATTAATCTCCGCTTATAACTTCTATTCAATCATCAACTGGTTAAGTATTTTATGACTGACATTCTTTCCATGTTTACACAACAAGCCATAAAACACCATGTGCAATACACAGATCTGATGATAGGTAGTCAGACTATTCTCTCCCTTACCAGTTCCTCCCCTGACGTTTCCTCCCTGACGGTTCTCTCCCTATTTTGGGGGAGAACTGTCTGCATATTTGCAAATTAGAAGACAGTTCCTCCCCATTCTTATTTTTATAATTACATTATTATTAAAGTATTTAGATGATAAATAAATGGGTAAGTTTATTATCAATTGATATAAATTAGAAAAAAAAGAAGATTTTATTGAAGTGTTAATTTAGATGTTAAATAAATGGGTAGGTTTATTATAAATTGATATAAATTAGAGAGAGAAATACTTTAATGAAGTATTTAGATGTTTAATTCAAGTTTCAATTTTGTTAGCATCATCAGCAACAATAAATCAGTAAGTTTATTATCAAAAATTATGAATATAAATTAGAGAAAAAAATATTTTTTTGAAGTATTTAGATGTTTAATAAATTTGTAACTTTATTATTAATTGATATAAATTGAATTAGAAAAACTTTTTTTTAACATATAACAATAATTGATCAATGATGATATTAGTTAATTATTCTGATTTTTTAATTAGATGTAATGTATACTTTTTAATGTGTTTAGTCATTGAAAATAATTAATGAATAATTTACTTGATTAGGATAATCATAAGATATTATTTTTTTATTTTTTTTTAATAAATAAAAATGAAATTTATAGGCAAAAAATGATTAATAAATTTTAATTGCTAAACTTTTGTATAATGAAAAAAGGAGTTCAATACACACATGTATGCGCTAAGTTTGCTGTCAGTGATAATTGAGGTGTTTATTAATTCATTACTCAAGAATCAAGGTGTTGATTAGATTAAAATAGCTGTGAAAAGGTGTTGATGAATAAGTATTATATTAGTTATTTGGTATTATATATTGTTTCAAGTTAATGACTACATGTTTTTAAATCAATTTCGTAAAATTTTGCATACCAGTTGTTGTTTACTTATTTTCTAGAACATACTTGTTTCCACCTTATTCACTATTTAACAAATGAATGAACATCACAAGCTAGACCTTAATATAATTACTGTCCAATGATCTATATCTCTCACAATAAAGGTGTTGATAGGATTAAAATACTGAAAAAAGGTGTTAAATTTACAAACACTTTTCAGCTGATAAACATAAAACATAAAATGCAGTTAATATCAAACACATTCTTTTAATAATCTTCATTAAGAAATATTATTAGATTAAGTAAAAACTAAAATGATAACTTATAAAAATAAAATTGGGGGAGAACTGTCTGCATATTTCAAATTTGGGAGAGAACCGTCAGGGGAGGAAACGGTTAGGGAGAGAACCGTCAGGGGGAGGAACTGGTAAGGGAGAGAATAGTCTGTCATTCCTGATGATATGACCCCTGCTAAATAAAAAGTAAAATAAATACATTCACGGAGGCCAATTTGACAATAAAATATATTATACTTACACAAACGGATAATAAAACTAATTAATCCAAGGATAAAAGTTTACACACTACGACAAGGTATACACAAATCTTATAATCACAGACTACACACTGTAATCCTTTCTCAGCAAATTCCAATCTTCAACTAAACACATTTTGGCAATTACGCATGCTCATTGAAACCGGAAATGGATTGCGGAAAATCGCGCTACATATGCAAAGCAACAAAGGTAAAATTGAAGTACTGTTTATGTGTTTATTTATACAAATATCTTAAATGTTAACATGTCGAAACTTTAAAAACATGAGTTCTTTATATTTTTCAAGCAAGAGCAACAAAATTAGACTTAAGATACATCAGAAATCAGCTGCCAAAAAAACACCGAATCAGCTGATGGAGGTCTCACACCGCATATGTGTTTTCGCCCCTAGTATTTTCAACCCAATTATAATTTTAGCGTGAAACACTTTAATAAAATTAAAATTTACATTTAACATTAATTTTGAATTTAGCCTTCCTTGTATCATAGTTTGGGGACCTTCCTGTTGAAAATGTGTCAGAGTTAAATCGTATACATATACATGCACAGTGCGTTAACTGGAGTGCAGGTATTAGTTACCCGCACTCCGGAGCATGCCCATTGATCAGATAGCCTCATGTTTCGATGCTTTTTCTATTACATAGATTACAAGTTGAATGCTGTTGCTTCCAAAACTTTATAATTCGCCTTTTAACATTTTATTTTCCATCTGATGAGGCAATAAAGTTTTGAATTAGACCTTAAATTAGACCTGTTGCATAACCTTACCAGAATAACATACGTTGATTTAACCTTATTTTCATTTGCAAAATACCCTTGTCCCAATTAATTCTTGTGCATTTTGCACAAAACAAATAATATCATTCTTTACCATTATATCTATATCAAAATATTAGTACCGTCACTAAAATTGCCTATTTAACTGAGAAACATCAATAACATCAACTTAAGTCAGCCATGTCATTTAGGAGCAACGCAAGACCTCATATGACGTAATTCACGGGAACCAATTAGAGTAGAGTCGTGTACTATAATTAGAACATCTTTGTTATTTATAATTCAAGATAACCTTTTTATTTATTTTCTTTAATTTTTAGTACTCAAATAAAATTATATGGAATACAAGAGTAGAAAATCCCCATTTTACAATATCTTTAAAAAAAGTAATGCAGGGCTTTTTTTCACAGGTTGGGGAAGCAGCCCTGTCCTTAATGTTGGGGAAAAATTACATGGTATATTTGCAAAAGGGGAAGAAAAAACTTGGATGTTAATTCAGTTTTTGGGGAAAACTGCATGATTTTAAAGAATTTTTCTACGGGGAAGCAGCCCTATACCGGCCCCAGCTATAGAAGTAAAAAAAAGCCCTGTAATGTATAAAAAAGTTGGAAGCAGTCCTGTTTTCTTAAATGTCCGCGCAAATTAACCCGTAAGATCAATCTCGTTATCATTTGGTCAAACATATAAAGACTTGACAATTTGAAAATTTTCTGGAACAATACTGGGCTGCTTTAGAATTGGACAAAACCGATAACAAATACATGTATGTGAAGCTCTTGGCCAGTCTGCAATATTTTCAGGTCTAAATAGACTTGAGGAGACCAATAATCAGAGTGGTAATGTTTATATCTGCACTGGTTACAATTGAAGATGGCATATTGGAAATTATTATTGAGATTACATTGAGTGAGAAATTTAGTTGGATTATGCACTGGTTACAATTAAAGATGACACAATAATAATAATAATAATAAAGACTTTATTTAAAGAGGCAACATTTTTAGGCAAGCCCAGTCTTCTCTATGAGCCTCTATAAATATTGAAAATTACCATTGACATTACATTGATCAGAGAGAAATTTAGTTGGATTATGTGTGTCAGTTCTTTATTGAAAAATTAAATCTTGGAAATTTGTATGAAAAAACATGACTGAGCCGCGTCATTACAAAACCAAGGTAATGTGTTTGCGACCAGCATGGATCCAGACAAGCCTGCGCATCCGCGCAGTCTGATCAGGATCCATGCTGTTCGCTATCAGTTTCTCTACTTGTAATAGGGTTTGTAAACGAACAGCATGGATCCTGATCAGACTGCACGGATGCGCAGGCTGGTCTGGATCCATGCTGGTAGCAAACCCATTATGTTGGTTTTGTCATGAAGCGGCTTGTGTATCTATCAGGTAAAGTGGGGCGCTTGTTCCCTGCATTGCTAGCTATTGCTCACAACAACTTGTAATTGTGTGATGACCATTTATAATAATGCATCTAGTGGTTGGACTTGGAAAAAAGTCATAGCCTGTCCTAATTAATCTTGATGTCTCTTGTACAAATCTGATTTGATGGACTAACATTTTACCAATGAGTCTTGACATAAGATAGCATCTTTGGTTGACATTCCATCAGACATTTATATTGAATATTTTAAGTGTATGTAACTATGCTGCATTCGTAACTGTTTTTTTGTCACGGAAATTGAAAGTCAAATTAATTAATGTTTTGCACAGCATGAAAATTTATATCCATATTGTCAATCTGTTTGGCCTGTCCAAAAATTATCTCAATGTCTCTTGGACAAGACTAAAAAAGTTGGACTAGAGAAGTATATACAATTTTCTAACAACTTGTGTTGTGTGTCGCAGTTTGAAATACTTTATATCGAACTACATGTATAACAACAATTAAAACAGTTGATAATGATTTTCAAAATGTAGCCATATTATATAACTAAATGAAAGGGGATTAAATATTATGCCTTTAAAAAATTACCTGTTTATCATTCATTATTTAATATATTTTCCAGAAAGACTTGTACTTTCCAAATGTTCAGTTGCTGCTAGAGATGTAACAAAGAACTGTTGCATTGCAATATGCTTAGTCCTTGATGTTTGCATTTTAACTTCCTTAAAAATGATAAATAGTTTTGTCAAGATTAAAAGATAGACAAATTCAGTTTAGATATTTAATGGTAAGGGTGAACTAAGTTTAGATATATGCATCTCTTTTGCACATGGTATTTCATAACTAACTTGCATATTTTGTATATATTTTTCTTGCAAATAGGTCTATACAAATTATGTTAAAGAGGGTAAATTTATAATTTACAATTGGGCAGAAAGTCAAGGTTGAAGGTCATCTGAAAATTGTTTCTGGACAATAATTCCTGGAATGTTTATGATGTACTCCAGGAAGAATGAAGATAGCCAATGTTCATTTAATGCCCAGTAGTCTCTATTGGTCTGTTAATCTCATTAAAGATTCATGTCTACAGATGAGCCAAAATATTTCAAGAAAATCAAACTTGAGAAAAATGTACAAAAATTTAAAGAAATGTAAAAACATTCAAGATTCAAGCAATGTGCAATTTATGAGCAGTATTGAAGTATTTATCACTTTATTAGTCCCCTACCAGTTTAACCGGAGGGGACTTTAGGTTTACCCTCCGTCCGTCTGTCTGTCTGTCTGTTCGTCTGTCTGTCTGTCAGTCCGTCCGTCCACAAAACTGGATCCCGCGATAACGCAAAAAGTACTGAAATTTTTTTTATGAAACTTGATATATGGATAGATGGCAGTATGGACATTATGCACGTCTTTTTCTTTTCTTCCTATGTTGAAAATTCTGGTTGCTATGGCAACAAATAGACTGAAAATATGGCAAATTTAACACATAAACTGGATCCAGTGACAACTCAAAAAGTACTGAAAATATTTTTATGAAACTTAAAATATGGGTAGATGGCAGTCTGGAGATTATGCACATCTTTTTCTTTTCTTCCTATGTTGAAAATTCTGGTTGCTATGGCAAAAAATAGCCTGAATTTCAAGATTTCTGATTTAAATTTTTCAGCTTTTTCACTATAAGTTCTTTATTTCTTAAGGTGTTTACTTCAAACTTTAAATATAAGTTTCTGGCCATCAACCACATCATATATGACAAGGTTTACAACTCTAGCACAAAAATTATCAGCATTACCTCCCTTGAACTTAGAATTTTTATGAAAAAAAATGTTGTCTTTTTTAAATAACTTCTTTATTTCCTAATGTATCTACTTCAAACTTCATATATATGTTTCTTATTATCACTCAACATTTTTGAGGAGGTTAAATACTCTAGCAAGACTATTATCAGAATTATCTCCCCCTTGAACTTAGATTTTTTTCGACTTAGATTTTTTATAGGATTTACTTTAAAATCCCACATTATAATAATATGACAGGGTTGTATAAACATAATTTCCTTACTAGGCAGGGAAACTTAACACATTACTGTGATATAGACAAACTTAGAACTCAAAAGATTTAAGTTCATTCATGTCATTTATCCACTGGTAAAATTGAATGGCCAATGGCCCATCAGAATGTTGCTGGGGTTCTAACCGGTAGGGGACTTATGGATTGCTTGCAATACTATGATAATTGCTTGTTTCTACTGCAGTTAGGGCTAATTTTGCATATTATGACCTCTTTGGTTATTTACGTGGATTGTAAGTGCCATTTGCAATGTGTAAATTGCTGTTTGTTCACTTCATAATACTTTTTCATGAAAATTTTGGCATGCTGTGTTGCAAGATTCTTTCCCTTTGTTTTAAAAGTAAGGTGACAAGATTTGCCTCCCTTGATAGCATTATGTAGGGAAACATAACTCTTACAAGTTTGAGTTAAAATTTTGTAGAAGTTGTTTCCCTTGTGTTACATTTTACGTTTGATTATTTGGTGGTGATGCACCAGTGATGTTAATGGTTGAAAAAATTAATTTAATACTAATTAAAGTACAAGTATAGGTCTTGTAATTTACTGTAAAATTGACTGTTTAAATATAAATCAATTTTGTGCAACAAGGTTATTGTTGACTTTTATGCTTTTAAGACAGATAGCCAATGTTTGTATGTCAGCAATATTAGCCACAAATGATATTACTATTGCTAGATAATTCTTTATGGTACAACAATCATGTCATCAAGGGGTCATGGTCAAAGTTGACATTTTAACTAATTTCAGAATTTTTACATATAATATAGTGCTTCCATTGTCCCTCGCCTGGAATCTTTTGTCATTTTGACATCTTGCTTTTGTTTATGGTGTTTGTTGAATAACTTTGCTGTACTTATTTGCACTTTGGAAATAATTTGGCGCTTTGGAAATAATTTGGCGCTTTGGAACTAATCTGGGTCAATTCTATCGCAAAGGTCAAGGTCTTATTTTTTGTAACTTATGCAAGAATTTCATCATAAACTCATTGTTGAAGGTGACATTGCAACTGATTTTTCACTACATTGTGTATTTACAAATTGAAATTATCTTTCAACAGTTAATATAAGTGTTAAAACTTTATTTCTTCAATAAATGTATGGTTAATAGTCTACTGCAATTCTATTTAGTTATGCCAGCTATAAAAATTAAATTCAAAATAATTATTCCAACAAAATGTTTTTTTGTTTTGTTTGCTTTTAAATACAGCAGTATTTTTTTGAAGATATAATCATATCAGAAATGTAAATAAAAAACAATGGAATGTTCAAGTAGAAAAAAAGTTCCATCAGTTCCAATAGTATATAAATTCTTTCAGTGTTCCTCTTAAATAAAATATTTCTGTACAAAAAATCTTAAATTTCAGGGTGAAAGAAAAGTAAAAAAGCTGTTTCCACATTGGAAGTAGTCTGGTTGTCTGCTTTTTGCATGACTGGTTCTAGTGAGTAAAGTGATAGGCTGCGAAGTCAGTAAACCAGTCTTGTTATCTGACAAGCTGCCTTAGCAGCAGAAGATAAAATTTACAGGTAAGAGATATTTTCACTTTTGATTTTCATCAAAATTAATTTCATATGCTCAGGGTTGACGGGATGTTATGACTGATGTTGAATTGTTATGCTGACTTCTAATTACTGACCATTACTGATATTTTAAACATTTTTAATATGTCAATCTCCTTTATCTAAGATGATCTCTCTCAGGAAAAAAAGAGCACTTTATTGTTTTGAAATATGATTTAGGTCAATAATGTTATGCCAGTCATTTTCAAGTTATGCCAGTCATTTTCAGTTTGTCTGTTTCAATGAAAAAGTAGAGCTATCATGATCAAGCTATTATCATGATCAAGCTATCATGATCAAGCTATCATGATCAAGCTATCATGATCAAGCTATTATGATCGAGCTATTATGATCACTGTAGCGATGGCCTAATGTTGTCCTCATGCAAAAATTTAATGTAGCCTGTTATTCAAACATTTCAAAAACATATCAACCTGAAACTTAGAATACTTACTTCACATGAAAATGTGCAGTTGTTGACAGGGGGCATGATTCTGAAAGGAATGTTTTTGAGTGGACTGCCCCTTTTTAACTTAATTTTTAACAGACGAGTTACCACGACATGTGGTGCTCTTGTTTTTTCTTCAAAATTTACATGGTTAATCATAATGGAATTCATTGACATCACCAGAGTCACTGAAAACCTAAAATGTTTCCCAGTTCTTGGTCTAGTGGCATTATAACAGACAAGTATTTTCAATTATTATATGCATAGAGGCTTGATTATATGCATGTCTTGCTTTTAAGCTTTTAATCTAACCAGTCTTTTTACTCTTTTCCATACAGCTTGCTCTCTATAAAACAAATGAAATTTAATCACACCAGTCATCTAATGGGAGATTAATTTGAATCTTATAGTTTAAACTGTGTATTTCTTATAGTTTAAACTATATATGTGTACATTGCCTTTTATATAATCAAAATTCATCCCATATTTCAACTGATTTCAGATGCCGCATGCGGTCTTTGATTCTGTACCATGACTTTTCGTGTTTTGTAACATGAACTGGAAATTATTTCTAATGCCGTCTTTAGTTCTGTACTATGTCTATTGCTGATTTTGGGCTACTACTTGTATTATCCCCAGGGCTCCTTGTAGTATACTCAACGGTGCCGGCCCGTGGAAAAAATTCACAATGATGATATATCAATATTACGATTGTATTAGATGTTGAATATTGATGATATATCGATATCGCGATTGTATCAGATGTTGAATATTGATGATATATCGATACCGCGATTGTATCAGATGTTGAATATTGATGATATATCGATACCGCGATTGTATCAGATGTTGAATATTGATGAAATATCGATACCGCGATTGTATCAGATGTTGAATATTGATGATATATCGATACCGCGATTGTATCAGATGTTGAATATTGATGAAATATCGATACCGCGATTGTATCACATGTTGAATATTGATGATATATCGATACCGCGTTTGTATCAGATGTTGAATATTGATGAAATATCGATGCCGCGATTGTATCACATGTTGAATATTGATGATATATCGATACCGCGTTTGTATCAGATGTTGAATATTGATGAAATATCGATACCGCGATTGTATCACATGTTGAATATTGATGAAATATCGATACCGCGATTGTATCAGATGTTGAATATTGATGATATATCGATACCGCGATTGTATCAGATGTTGAATATTGATGAAATATCGATACAGCGATTGTATCAGATGTTGAATATTGATGATATATCAATATTGCAATTTTTCAGATGTTGAATATTGATGATATATCGATATCGCAATTGTATCAGATGTTGAATATTGATGATATATCGATACCGCGTTTGTATCAGATGTTGAATATTGATGAAATATCGATACCGCGATTGTATCACATGTTGAATATTGATGAAATATTGATACCGCGATTGTATCAGATGTTGAATATTGATGATATATTGATACCGGGATTGTATCAGATGTTGAATATTGATGAAATATCGATACAGCGATTGTATCAGATGTTGAATATTGATGATATATCAATATTGCAATTTTTCAGATGTTGAATATTGATGATATATCGATATCGCAATTGTATCAGATGTTGAATATTGATGATATATCGATACCGCGATTGTATCAGATGTTGAATATTGATGAAATATCGATACCGGGATTGTATCAGATGTTGAATATTGATGATATATCGATACCGGGATTGTATCACAGATGTTGAATATTGATGATATATCGATACCGCGATTGTATCAGATGTTGAATATTGATGAAATATCGATACCGCGATTGTATCACATGTTGAATATTGATGATATATCGATACCGCCCAGTTTGTATCAGATGTTGAAGATTGATGAAATATCGATACCGCGATTGTATCAGATGTTGAATATTGATGATATATCGATACCGCGATTGTATCACATGTTGAATATTGATGATATATTGATACCGCGTTTGTATCAGATGTTGAATATTGATGAAATATCGATACCGCAATTGTATCAGATGTTGCATATTGATGATATATCGATATTGCAATTTTTCAGATGTTGAATATTGATGAAATATCGATACCGCGATTGTATCAGATGTTGAATATTGATGAAATATCGATACCGCGATTGTATCACATGTTGAATATTGATGATATATCGATACCGCGTTTGTATCAGATGTTGAATATTGATGAAATATCGATACCGCAATTGTATCAGATGTTGAATATTGATGATATATCGATATTGCAATTTTTCAGATGTTGAATATTGATGAAATATCGATACCGCGATTGTATCAGATGTTGAATATTGATGAAATATCGATACCGCGATTGTATCACATGTTGAATATTGATGATATATCGATACCGCGTTTGTATCAGATGTTGAATATTGATGAAATATCGATATTGCAATTTTTCAGATGTTGAATATTGATGATATATCAATATCGCGATTGTATCACATGTTGAATATTGATGATACATCTATACCGCAATTTTTCAGATGTTAAATATTGATGATATATCGATATCGCAAATTGTATTAGATGTTAAATATTGATGAAATATCGATACCGCGATATCAGGTGTTGAATATTGATGAAATATCAATATTGCGATTGTATCAGATGTTGATTGCCTACCTTTAAATTAGAAGTTTCTTATTGTGAGGTATTAGATTCTTTAATACCATGACAAACTAGCTTCTCATCAAATTAATGCCACTGAGTGTTTTTCCACATAATGATATTAATCGTTTTAAACAACTATCAACCAAATTTTCATGGAAAAAACATGTAATGAGTTCAGGACTTGTCAATTTTATAATCCTAGCTTGGTAGACAGGGAACTGTCCATGTGGCACTGATTGAGCTATTTGACCTATTCAAATAATAATAATGTTACTATACAATACATTAGCAAAGACAGAAGTTTATAACGACTTGCAATGATTGTTTCATCAAAGGAACTTTTACAGGCTACTGTTTCAAACAAAACATCTGATAGGGTCTATAACAAGCTGATTTTTCCTTCTGATCTTTACAACAGACAAAATACAGCTATCTAACGGCTGACAAATATAATAAACAATTCTTGCCTCAGTTTTTGTTCCCATGTGATATGTTTGTTTTATTTACATCATTAATGAGAGGCTGCCATATGTTCTAACTTGAGAAAAAATCCGGCTATTTAGAAACTATTTATGAAGTCTCACCTGAGCTGATCTTGTAGGGTTTGAAATATATTTTATTATTGGCAGAAAACCTTGCTGCTTTATGTTGCAAATACAATCAAATAAAATTGACTTCGCAGGATTTCATTAGGGCATCTGAGGTCTTCCTCCACCAGTAAAGCTGGAATGTTGCCATATGACCTATACTGTGTCAGTGTAACATAAAACCCAATCAAACAAACAAATTATTTACAGATTGGCAATCCATATCATGGGTTGAAATGCTGTTAAAATCTGTGGTATTTTCAGCCTGTAGATTAAAGTATCGCCCTTGACCATTGTCCAATCACTTGTTTTTCTTGGCAAATTTGTTGCCCACCATAAAAATGAAAACCCTGCTTTGTTTAACTTTTCCTCCTCTGATTTCATATACATGTAATTGGCTTAGTTTTTGCTTTGGCTTTGGAGGGGTGGTGCTTGAACCTTTGTGGAATTGTGGGGACTTTGACATTTTGATTATTATACCCTCTGGGCTCTACAAAGGTGCTGTCCAGCGGTGTCATCAGTCAGATTGTAAAGATCTCTATTTAATGCTCAGCACTGCAATTTTGACATAATATGTCCCCATCTTTCAGCGTTATAGCAAAACAACTCATTGACTTGGCGACAGTTGCAATGCAAGGACAAGAAGCCAAAGTGTTAAGCAGTTAAAACTTTTCCAAAGCACTAAGTTAGTCATGTTGTACCATATCTGATATTATATTCGCTGTCTCTTGAAATATCTTCTATAGACAATTGTACAAAGGTTGTCATCGGGAGTTCGGATATCCAAATGTTTGCATCATGGTTTGTTGTCGGATCAAAGTTTTGGTTATTCAATTATTCATATAAAGTATTGTTGTCATTGAAACTTTAGAATATGAAGTTGAGAGACTTGTGACAAATACATAGATTTGCATGGTGATGACAAGTCCATTTTGTTGTTCCGCAGTATGACAATAATATATGCATCATGAACACTGCAGACGATTTTTTATCATATAAGAATACAGTCTTTTGAAATGTTATTGTTTCATTTGATATTACTGCTTGCCTGAAACATGTATATACTCAATATTGGCATTTGAACAGACAATGAACACATTTTCACAATTCTCATTTATATTGAAAGTTTTATCTGACATGGACATTGAATGTAGAATAATCGGTGCACATGTACTAAGAAAAAAACTACAATTCGAACATCCAATTGTGTCCGGATACTCACTAGTCAGAAGGCAATT